TAGTAGGTACTCATAGTCCTCAGTTCTCACATACTTCCTGTTCTGCCTCCTGCCCCAGTTTATTGGCAATCTTCTGTGTTTATTCCATCCTCCTTGAATTTTTCTTTATCATCCTAATCTGAGGATTTAACCCAAACCAACACGTTTAAGAGCAATACCATTTAATGAACATTTCATCCAGCAATCATTTATTGGGTGCCTGTTTAATGGTAAGCTCTATTTTATCTCCTTTATGTACCATATATTCATTCTCAAAAAGCCTTGTAGAAAATAATACTTTAACCCAAAGTATTGGGTTGAAAAATTAAGGCAGGCTGGTAAAATAAATATTTAGGTTGGGTGGTGAAGCAGAAGGTAAACTTTTAAAAATAATTTTTAAGCCTTACTGAAAAACATTACTGTATTCCACACTGGATGTTTTGAACTGATAAATGTTATGACTGTGATTAAATTCATTCAGCGGAAGAAAAGGAAATGATCATTTCTAAAGTCAAAGAGGGTCATGCCATTCCAAAACAAATAGGAGATCCAAAACATTCAAATGGCATTTATTTAAACTGAAATGTGTGTCCAGTGTACAACAAAAGGGAATTATTGCCTGTGGGCTTATTAATTCTGTTTGAGGTATTAATTTAAGATATTAACGTGTTACTAGTTAGGTATCCATGTTGGAAATGTCTCCCCTGCATAGTAATGGTAGCATATAACATTGCAGGCTAAATTAATCTGATTGTCATTTGGGGTTCTAAAATCTACCATACATTAAAGACTCTATCTGAGCTTCCATCCACATAGAAGAGCTAATGAACCAGAAGCTTTTCTAATAACAGTGAGTACCACATAAATGCAGTGTTCACTCCATAAGTTCCACTGTTAATAGGATAAAATCACTCTGGGCAAATAAAACTAACAGCACTTTCTTCTAATTGATGTTCAAGCGCCACCTACTTCTTCTGTGAGATAAGACTACAATAAATTAGTGTTGTGTTAAGTTTGTGTGTGATGCTCTGCTGAAACTAAGAGATTTGTTCAGACTTTCAGAATTTTTCCTTGCCAGTTACCCTCTATTAAGTTTCTATTGTTAACATAAAAATCATTGAAAACTGTAAAGAATTTTTGTGAGTTTATTTGAGCCAAATTGTGGACATATGCCAGGAAGCAGAACCTCAATGAATTGAGACAATGCTCTGGAGAATGGCGGGGTTACATTTGTATTTATACATCTGCAATCAAAGGAGGGACGTAGGTGGGTTACATGAAATTTATTGGTGATAGATTAAAGAGGAAGGATAAAGCAAAGCAGGGGAAACCCCTGGAATTGGATAAAAAGTAAAATGATGGACACATACTTAGGTGGGTGCAGGATCAATTAACACGATAATTAAGGAATTTGTGGTATCTGTCCTGCAGCCCAACACATTTGGTTGTACCCCAGGGGCTCCAGAAAAAGGGAAGTTACAAGTTACCCAGACATTTCAAGGGTATGTTATCATAGATGCAAAAAGACAGATAAGCTCCGTTAAGGTAAAGGTTGACCTTGTCAGTGAAGATACTGGCCTAGGACATAACTGCCCACCATAACTGCTTTTAGTTAAAGTTTAATTTCAGACCATCCTTTGTGGTTACTTTAGATGTCTGAGTTTGCAAGACTGCCATGCAGGCCTCCCCTGAGCTTGTCAGGTCAGCATGTGGCCCCTTTCGTCCACACATCCCCCTTTTGGTCATAAATCAATCCAAAGGATGCATTGATGACCAAACTTTTGGTTGGATAATGGAGTCCCACGTTGCTAGGGAGGCTCATTGCTAGGATGTCTCAGTGTCAGCATGTCTTGCTGAACAGGTGAACCACTGGGGATGGGGCAAGACCATAACCTTAGATGGCATTTAAGGTCAAATTATTATTATTTTAAAAAGGGCAGATAAATGGGAGGCAGTCAGATCCTGTATGTCCTTGATAAAAAGTATTCTGGATCATTTCTAATTTTTGAGCCACCATGATCCAAGTCTTTTTGCTGTTTGTCAAGTTTTGTTTTTCTGCATCTAGTATAACATTTACATATCAGGAACAAAAGTAACAATGCTAAACATTGATTAGGAACAGAAAATGTCTAATACTAGACGAGGAAAAGTCAAGGGTAACAATCATCCCAGCCAACCGAAAAAACTCTTCACATGTATCATCATAAATTTTATTAAGCTAAGTATATGTTTTCCTCCTTCATCCACTGTCACTTGTACCATAGGATATATTTGGTCAGATGAATTAAGACTCTCTACTATTTCATTATCTAGAAGTTTTAATTTTCTTCTGGCCAGTTAGTTTCCATAGAAATGACTTCATGGGGAGGAGTTCAATTTCCCAATACATTGGTTTTTCAGTATCAATATTATCATAGGTTTTATGAACCTCAGGCAAAGTCACTCTGCCTATAATTTCAGTACTACACCATATTCCAGTATTGTTCAATGTAAACTTGGCGATATTACAGTAAAAATCGCTGAGTATAACAGAAGAATATTTTAACCCTTCCCAGCAAAATCGCCCCTTTCCCATATACCATATATTGTTACTCATTGGGGTAGATACAATAGACCAGGACTGGGTGAATTCAGTGTTCCACAGGGCTTCCCACAAGCGTCCAGAATGCAAGAATGGTGGGGTAGTTAGACATATATACCCACCAAGTGATCCCAATAATTTCTGAAATGGGGATCCATTGATTTTTTCTTATTTCATAGACATCCAGCCACAAGAGCATGGCTGGTGAGTCCGAGGACAAGATATACTATGACAGATAGAACAGGTTGCTGCAAACCTTTGGCCATCATATCCAGGTGTTTTTTCTTAGTTATTCATCATCTATCTCTATAGCTATACAATATTCATCCAGATTAGATCCATATACAATTCTACCAGTGGAATTATCAGGGAGGTATTTGCCTAAGGTGGGTCCTTTATAATATATATAGTCAGAAAAAAAAATGTACCAAAGCTTATATTGATAGTAGGAGAAGACCAATGTGTGGGTAACAAAACATTAATTTCACTATTATACCTGATAATCAGAATATCATTGTGCAGTAGGTGGGAAAGATTAGCAGGTATCCAAGTTAAATTTTTCATATCTAATACGGGAGGAGGACTGGAGAGGCAGATATTGTTTCCACTAGGGAACCATAAGGATAATAATAATATGAAAACCATTTCATGTACATTCAATCAATAACAACCAGATGATATAAAAACAAGGTTCAAGCAATATCAGTTTGTGAGCATACAGGCCTTGTTGACGTCGTCTTGGGATAGCTGTCTGCCTCTGTGGTCAGTGACTTCTCGTCCTCGAAAGGTCTCAGCTGTTTCTCGTCCTTGAAAAGTCTTTGATCTCTGCTGCAGATGGAGATGGGTATCAGAGATGGGAGTAGATGTCCATTCACAGGTGCCTTTTTTAAATGAAAAAAGTGAATCCATGAGCTAACTCCTTTAAGTTTAGCTGCACATGGGTTAGTTAGTAATACCTGGTAAGGTCCCCTCCAACGAGGTTGGAGAGAGTCCTTTATTTGGTGTCTCTTCCAATACACCAAATCTCCTGGTTGTAAGCCATGATCTTTGAAATCTTCGTCTCCCGGGAGAGCACTGTGAAATGAATCTGTTACCAATTTGTTAGTTCCTACAATGCAGAATGTCTGCTCTTTACTTTTCCTTATATTTGGGAAACAAACGATTTAAAAGTCAACAATATTTTAAACAGTCATAAGAATAATTATCCTCAATTCATTTAGTCCCATAGTTATTTTTGTTTATCCTGATTATTTGCCAGTAGTTTTTGAATTCAGTTATTCCTTGAAGTTCTATAAATCTTCATCCAGTTCAAAAATAAGACCTGCTTACAAGCCTGCAATTTAGATTAAGCCAGAGTCCTTTTCATGGATTTTTGTAAACATATAATATACCTACAAATGCATCAGAATGAAGCTGTCCACGAATGACAAAATTTAAAAGTGGCATGGTTATAGATTTGATAAAAAAAACTTTGCTCTTCTATAAAATATAACATTCCAAGACAACAATTTCTTTGTATGTAATAATCCCTGTAAAATGACATAGAGAATATAAAATTTGTATACCTTTAAATTCAATTATAATTTCAGCATATAAAGAATAAATAATATGTAAGATTTTAAAATGAGGCACATGGCTTATTGCAAGCAGTGTATTCAGCATTGAAAATAATTCATAAACTCCCAATCTGTGAAAAGCAAATACCCAGAGCATCACTGGCAGATGCCCCCCACAGGGAATCATGACTCTTGGCTGCCCAGTCCCTGACGGGACACATGCTACCCCCATGAGAGTTTCCTGTTGAACTTGGCTCTGAATCTCTGCAAGTTCCTTTCTGAAGCAGATGCCTTAACAACCCACGGGACCATCCCTTACTCTTGACTGGAGCTCAGGCCATGGTCTTTCCTGATTGGCTAATTCAAAGGCAGGGGTTGGCCTTTGCTGTTTCAAGGTGGCAGCCCCAAGGGGAGCGGCAAGCCATGTGGCCAACATGGTGGCTGCCAAGTTAGGCAGCCCAAAATGGCAGCTGTCTACACTGTTCCTAAAAGATAGACAGCCAACATTATACTGCAAACTAACAGAAATCTCACCAGCTGTTTCTGGTGGCTGAACCCTGAGAGGGAGAGCAAGAAGAGACCCCAAGATTAAGAATTCTTGGCAGCTGCTGGGACGTTCTTGCAATCTCTCTCACGCTTTCTTTCTTTTTTCTTTTTTTGAATTTAAATGCATTTTATTTTTAGACAACCTACATGACATCTTTTTTTCTTAAAAACGATGCCTCCGCTCCAAATGAATCAAGGTCAAAATAAATGAAGAGCTCAAGATAACATCAGTTCCATTTGTCCTAGTCTTGGTGTGTGGATGCAAAGCAGCAGTTACGATGACAGGTGATGGTGCCAAATTGCCCAATTTGTTAATATTTTTCCATTTCTAAACCATTCTTAAAGAAAATCATTTATTGGGTCACACCAACCTCCCAGTAGTCCAGCAGAGCAACCATGCCATCTGGATTCATGTTTTCACCAATAAAGAACTGGTAGTTTTTGAAATTGGCAAGGATATGCTTGATTTGTTCTGCAGCCCCTGTCATAAAAGGCTTTACTCTTTCTGGTTTCTGTTCTTCAAGCTTCCCTTTGATTGATTTCATGTAATCTTTGATGTACTTCTTGTAGGCTTCTTTTGTGAAGCTGGTTTCCTGCAAGTGATGGTTCACAACAATGTCAACACCAGTGATTACTGTGCTTTTGGTACCTTCGCCCTCAGGGCCTTCAGCAGAGGCATTTCCACCAATAAGCGAGACATCAATATTACCTTCTGTCCTACTGACCATCTTCCCCTCTACCTCCAGGCACAGCCCATCTGCGATCTCCCGGATCTTGTAGATGTCGGAGAACATCTCATCATGGCTGATGAGGTCCAGGTAGATGATCATGATGGCGGCTGGAAGGAGACGGAGGCGCTGCCTTAGCAGGAGCGCGGAGCTCGGCGCGAGTGTGGTGCATCCCGAGCGGTGCTGGGGTGGGGGTGGGGGTGGGCAGGCGGAAAAGGCCTACTCAGTCACTCCCCAACCTCATATAGAGGGCCTCTCTCTCACGCTTTCAACCCCACCACACACAAGGAGGCTTCCCCAAAGCAGAACTCGCCTCCTCTTTAAACAAATTAAACAACAACAAAGAGACACAAAAACATCAACACTCTTATACAGGTGCACACAGAACACACTAAAAGTTTACACCAGAGATTGTCCAGCATTAAAAACTACCAAAGCAGTGTCTTTTGTCCCTGGTTCGGGAACTTCCCCTTTCTAAAATTTCAGTATATTCCCAATGGACTATTCAAAAAAGAAACAAACAAACAAAAAATGGGCTGAGGTCTTTTTTAGTTGCCTTTACCTTCTTTTGTCTGGGGGAATCTTCTATGAAGATAAATCAGAGGCATGCTTCCTACGGGGAAAAACGGGGTGTAGACATTTATTAACATCAGAATAGTTCTGAGACAGTCTCTAAAATTTTTTTATTAATTTCCATCTTATTGGAAGAAATTTTTTTCTATGCTTTTCTTTAGAAGCTTCTAATTTCCAAATCAAGATATGCTTCCCATATACTCATTCAGTTTAATTTCAGAGCCGACATTTTCTAATTTCTGCATGCAAAATATTAACATAGGTACCACAAACAAACTGCATTTTGGCCATTTCTCAGTTAATATTTTCTAGTTAAATCTTCCCATTTCTGTAAAGTACTTGCAAGTAAAGGCTTCCTATCAGGAGTATTAAATGAGGGCTGGGGTCTTGGGAGCTTCTGGCCTTGGAGGCACAATTTCCCATGTTAATTTTTTTATTTTGTATATCTGTAGTCTGAGCAAACTTTCTAGACATGTTATGCAGCGGGTCAAATGTGGCCTCAGTTTCTCTCCCAGCTGTCTAAAACCACAGGAAAGGTTTAGGGCCGGGCAGACCAAGCCTTATGGTGGCTCCTTAGATGAGCCATTTAGTCAATTACAGTTACCTCGGGACTTCCCTATGGGGCTCCAGCACTTCTGACATCTCCACAAAAATTCTTAGTCACCTAAGAACACCCCAGAATCGAACTATTCTAAAAAGAAATGTTGCCCCTTCACCTTTGGAGCTGAATGAGTTCAGCTCATTTATATGGCGAAGGCTATTTTTGCTCAGACTCTCAGCAATTTCAATTGAAAAGCCAAAATCAAAACCAGCCACCCATTTTTTTTCCTCCAGTCCCGCCTTAGCCTGGGTTCTGTCAACCCTGGTTCCACCTGGAGAATTTTAAAACACAGCTCAGATAAAGTCAGACCCTCTACCAAAGCAAGGGAAGGTCCTGGATCCAAGAGACAACTCACCCACCCAAGTTCACCCAATGGGCAGAGAACCGGCGGGCTCAAAGGCCCTTTGCTGGATCCTAGCACCCAGTCAAAGTCCAAGGGATGGTCCTGGGTGAGTTTCTTTCGAATCCAGCCATGACTATGCCAAGTAATGTTAACGTAAAAACCATTGAAACCTGTAAAGAATTTTTGTGAGTCTATTTGAGCCAAACTGTCGACATATGCCAGAAAGCAGAACCTCAACGAATTGAGATAATGCTCCGGAGAATGGCAGGATTACATTTGTATTTATACATTTGCAATCAAAGCAGGGACATAAGTGGGTTACATGAAATTCATTGGTGATAGATTAAGGAAGTGGGATAAAACAAAACAGGGGAAACCCCTGGGATTGGATAAAAAGTAAAATGATGGACACATACTTAGGTGGGTGCAAGATCAATTAGCAAACAATGAAGGAATATGTGGTATCTGTCCTGGAGCTCAGCACATTAGGCTGTGCCCCAGGGGCTCCAGAAAAAGGGAAGTTACAAGTTACCCAGACATTTCAAGGGTATGTTATTATAGATGCAAAAAGACACATAGGCTCAGTTAAGGTAAAGGTTGACCTTGTCAGTGAAGATACTGGCCTAGGACGTAACTGCCCACCATAACTGCTTTTAGTTAAAGTTTAATTTCAGACCATCCTTTGTGGTTACTTTAGGTGTCTGAGTTTGCAAGACTTCCATGCAGGCCTCCCCTGAGCTTGTCAGTTCAGCATGTGGCCCCTTTCGTCCACACTATCTACTTAGTTTCTCAAGAGCATTAACCCAAGGATGTGTAGGAATTTTTTAGTATGCAAATACCAGACTCTATTTCCCTTAAAGCTAAAGAAGGAGTCCCACCTGGCCATGCAAAGGTACCCACCTTCACCAAGATGAACCACATTATAGTATAGACATTTTAAAATAGCACATTGGCACTTCCTTCTCAAACTGAGAAGTGACAGTGGTTAAGACTTGCCCATGGACAAGTTAGCCTGTAAGATTATGAAATTATTTACATGGGATCAATATTTTATTCTCAAAGTTTCCTCAGAGTTGATTGAAGCCAAAGGCATTCTTGTCAAAGTTAGTTTATTAATCAATTGCCTAAGGCATCCCTCTCATCTGTAAATTGAAGATGACAATCAGAGTTCTTTGTAGAGATACAGTGAAGATAGGAAGCAAAGCATGCAAAGTACTCAGCCAGAGGCTGGTCCACAGTAAGATCTCTCAATGACTGTTTACATTAGAGTAATTCCAGATTTAAAATAATTACCAAACTTTTCTCAACTCAGGTTGTCTTGATGCCACTAACACTGTTTCAAGAAAGGTGAAAGGGTAGAGATAACACCACAGAATTCTGCAGAATGCTGCCCTTGGTCTAGTTCCAGATCTTTGATGATTAACCATGGAGATGCTGATAAAAATCACAATGCACTTTATTTTATTTATTTATTTAATTTTAAAAAATAATTCTTTATTGTTGAAAGTATTACATATGTCCCTCTCTTTCCCCCATTGGTCCCCTCTAGCCTGCCCTTGCCAGAGGCCCCCTCTGTCCCATTGTCTGTGTCTTATCCTTGGGCCATGCACATATGCATACAAGCTCCTTGGTTGATTACCTCCCACCCACCCACTCTCCCCAGCCTTTCCTCCAAGTTTCTGCACTCTGTTCTATGCTTTTTTAGAACTTTAATTCCCTCCTCTGTGAAACCAGGCTGACCAATGGCTACATCACACAGATGTTGAAACAAACAAACAGGATAAGTTATGTAGAATTGTTTTTAAAAATGCATATACCCACATATAAAGCATTATTGGGATTTTAGGGCTTTGTTTTTAGTAAATAAAAAATCAATATGTTGAATTATCTCTCAGAGTATTGAAAACCCATTAACATTATTTGTATTCATAAAACCTCATAGAGGGTTTAAAATGATTAGCTTTTGAACTTCACAACTATCAAATCAGAGCAAAATTGAGAAGGCGCAGAGCAGAGAGCTGACACATGGTTTTCCCCTATCTTCTCTCTGCAACCCATCTAGATTGCAGTCGGTCTTTCTAGTTAGCCAGTCTAGACATGTGTTTCTTGCCACTAATGTCTTTCAATTTCTTGTACATGACAACTATAAAAGATGCTGAGTGCCTTGACCTTGCCCTAAAGAAAAGTAAAGAATGCTTCCCTTTTTAAATTGACCAATGTAAAATTTAACATGGAAATGCTCATTAATCTTATTTTTCTCTTCTGTTTTTATTATTGAATTTATTGGGGTAACATTGATTAGTAAAATGATATGGATTTCAGGTATACAATTCTACAATACATCATCTGTATATTGTATTGTGTGTTTACCACCCCAAATGAAGTCTCCTTCCATCACCATTTATCCTCCTTATACCTTCTTCTATCTCCCCTGATCCCTCTTCCTTCTGACAATCACCATACTGTTGTCTGTGTCCATGGGTCTTTATTTCTTTTGCTTAATCCTTTCACCATTCTTACCTAGCCTCCCAACCCCCTATCCTCTGATAGCTGTCAGTCTATATCCATGAGTCTGTATCCACTTTGTTGGAAATTAGATTCCTAACATATAAGTGAAATCATATGGTACTTGTATTTTTCTGACTGCCTTATTTTGTTTTATAATACTCTCCAGGTCCATCCAGGCAGGTAAATATCCAAAAGTGACAGCTATAAAAAATGGCAATAATTGTGGATGAAAGGGGCCACATGCTAACCTGACAAGCTCAGGGAAGGCCTTCATGGTGGTCTTGCAAACTCAGAGACCTAAAGTAACCACAAAGGATGGTCTGAAATTAAACAAACTATAAGCAGTTATGGTGGGTAGTTACATCCTAGGCCGGTATCTTCACTGACAAGGCCAGCCTTTACTTTAACTGAGCCTATGTGTTTTTTTGCATCTATAATAACATACCCTTGAAATGTCTGGGTAACTTTGTAACTTCCCTTTTTCTGGACCCCTTGAGGCACAACCTAATGTGCTTGGGCTTCAGGACAGATACCACAAATTCCTTCATTGTTATGTTAATTGTTCCTGCACCCACCTAAGTATGTGTTTATCATTTTACTTTTTATCCAATCCCAGGGGTTTCCCTGCTTTGCTTTCTCCCGCCTCTCTAGTTTATCACCAATGGATTTCATGTAACACACCTACATCCCTTTGGTTTGATTGCAATCTAATCTAATAGACAAAAAAGGTAAGTGACCCTACCTTCCCTGCGCCTCCCATTGGCTAATCAGCACGATATGCAAATTAACTTCCAACAAAGATGGCGGTTAATTTGCATACGTAGGCTCCAAGCGGTGGAGCAGTGAAGCCTGATGGAAGCCCTGTGTGTTTATGCACCCTGGGGGTGCAGAGGTCTGGTCCTAGGCAGAGGCCAATGGCGCAACTTCCAACTCCAAGAAGCGGCCTGGGGGCTGGAAGGCGGCTCCTCTGACTTCAGTGCTGGAGTCTCACCGCTCCACCAGGAGAGGAGCAGAGAAAGGCCGGAGCCTCCCTCAAGGTGACCCGAAACCCCCACCCACACCAGGCAGGCCACTGGGCTTGTGCGGGAGGACTCACCTCCAAGTCCAGCAGGTGGCCCTGCCGCTGCCATGGCACTCCTGGGTGCAGG